TATGATGACAATTACATATATACATGTATATACCCTATGAAAGCCCGATAGTGCCTTGTTTCGATACAACCGAATCAGAGGGTATGTGAATCATGTAGTAGGCGATAAATGTAATCTTGTGTTGACTTAGAGATTTAAGTAAAACGCTACACGGCATTTAGGGTACCATTTGTTAACCAGGTTAAAAAGTTCGACCTTACCTCTCTAGACCAGGAAAAATACTGCGCTCCAGAGAAGACTTTCAGGAGATAACACCATATGTCCTCGTTCTCACGGGAGCGCTATTTCAGTTTTATCTCAACCTTGATATATACATTTAGCCTTGTACATACGGGCAGGTGAACAGAGCATGATGGATATTAATGCTATCTCAACCAAGTATGTATTTGGGTTATAAACACTCATTTTAATATTTGCAGACTTTCCTAAGTTGGTCATTGCACTTCAAATTATTTTCCACTATGACCCTGCTCCGCACAGCTAATCTTGTACTCTGATCATCTGAATTCCTACACGTACATTAACACTGGTTGTGTACCAAACTGTAGCAACTGAGTCGACTGAATCGAGCCTGGACATTATCTGGAGGTCATATATTTACCTTTTTTATAGTCAACGTTCCTTTTGTCGAACCAACAGTTCCAGCCTTTGCTGTCAACAACTGTTGAAGTGTTCCGAGACATACTGATATTGCTTGAAAAGTGTTTGTCAGAATTACAACGCACAAAGCTCAGTGAAGCTTTCAAAGCGTTGTAGGAAACATATGTTGGGCTGAATTACCCATTTGTTGCGAATAATTGTTTCAAGATACACCCTCCCCTGGAAATAATTAACCCAATGCGCCAAGTGTCGTAAGAAACGATCGTGTAAGCGGGGGATCAGGGCCCATCTGCACAAAGCTGTCTGACCACTACGACCGCTTTAAAGCTATCTTTGAGTAGTGCTTCTAAGGGCACTGGTTAATGCATGTTTGTACTGAGCGGATTTTCAGTGATCGCTTGATGGTTTGTTGTTTAACGACGCGCTCAGACTTCTCCTGCTATATTCCGGGCGTCTGTTAATAGTCTGGACCAGACAATCCAGTGATTGACATCATGAGCATTGATCTACACGTTTGGGATACGATTACATGTGTGAATAAAGCCAGCCACCTTTAGCTGGCAAGTCGCCTCTTATGACAAGCATGGGATGCTGAAAGTCAATTCTAACCCGGATCTTCACGGGTGTAGACAAGCATGGGTTGCTGAAGATCTATTCTAGCCCGTTCCTCATGGGTGTAGACAAGCATGGGTTGCTGAAGATCAATTCTAGCCTTCTAGATCTTCACGAGTCTTGTTCATGCTATCAACCACCGGTTCACTTAGTCAAGGTTGACCTATCATACAACCGGGATATGGATTACTGTGACCTCACCAGGCACTCACGGTTTGGCTGTCAAGCATTGCAAAAACATCTTATGAAACATGGTTGGTACATTAAGTTAAGGTTCTTGAAGTGTTTTTGTTCTGTTCTTTGGTTGTTGTGAATAAGAATCAATAACATGCACGCAATTAAAGCCTCAGCATGTGTTCTTAATGTCGAAAGTGCAGAATATCAGCTGGTTGCACATGCAGCCTTCTTAACAATATCTTACTGCCGACGTCTGTTTACTGTCTGTTAAACCAATCAATCTTTTCTTTTTGGTAGTGGAGAACACAGGCACATTCTACACGAGCATCTGACTATGAGAGAGGTATCGACACAAGATAAACACATTACACATGGTTCTATCATACTACATGAGGTAGTAATGGCGGTCTATGTGGCACTGCATTCTGTACAAACATCGCTAGATCTTAATAATGTGTCCGGAGTAACTGCTGACATCTACGTGTTAATACTGTGTGAAGTAATATCTGAATAGGTTTTGTTTAGGAAGGCACAAATATTTGGTATTACAAGACATAATCTATCAGCCCCAAGTTCTTTAAAATATCTACCGTTTTCAATCCGAAGTCGAACGTAATTGTTCAAACGCAGCCCTGAAATTTGAAATAGTGAGTTCTTTGATATACAAATATAAGTCAAAGGATAATGTGAAATGAATGTTGGGAGTAAATATCAAGTTGCTTATAAATGTTGTTAACTTTACATTGCTCTTCCGATAGTTACCTTTATTCCCCTTCAAAACTTTCATTTTGCAAACATTTGATCGCACGTGTAAGTAGAAGTTGTAACGTGTTAATGTATCGTATTCTTTGGCTGTGGTTGCTGCAATGACTCAAGACGTATTTTCCTATCATTAAAAAGAAGTGATAAATTACTTTCTGCATCTACACAGCGCCGGGCTGATACAGCCGTTAAAGAAACAACACTAACGCATCGAGTGCATTTTGTCCCAGACAATCACCGACACACGTGTGGTTACAATGTGCTACAAGTAGGTACAAATTTACCGTAATTCACATCATCGATTTTATTCCTTGTTTACATAACCCTCAACTAACAGGACGAGGCACATAGGACTGACAGAAGTGTTGTCAACGGCAACAAGCCTGAACACTGTGAAAACAAAAATGCTATAGTTGGAGTGTATTATTGAGACATAAAGTCAAACCATTAAACGCTAAAGATTCAGGTCGTGTATACTCACGGCATCTTGTAGGGAGACGGATTGTTTCATTCAGACAGTGTGTTCACCGATACCAACGGTAGCTGTGTTTGGAACAAAACAAGGAGATATAAGTTTGATTTCAATATGGAAACAGACTTTCTGACTTTAATGTTTTGTCTTGCGAGTCTGATGTGTAAGTCAAGCAATGGCTCTTGCTTAGAGATCCTGAACATGGTCCCATCGTCTCTTTATAGCGGCAAGAAAGTGTCAGGAAGTGTGAAAATATCAAAGACTGTAGACAACCTGGCAGACTGCAGTTCTCACTGTGTGCTCACAGGCTACAAGATTTCTTTCATCTTTGATCCCAACACCATGATGTGTACCTGCCACACGTTGCCGTTGTCGGCGTTGACGTTAATACCAGCAGCAGGAGCGGTGGCCTTTGGACATGACACACTTCCGACGGGTAAGGTACTTTAACAGAACACAACTTTAACGGGACTCTGCGTCCGAATGTGTGTCTGCTTCTGGAGCATGTTGTGGGTAAATAGATAAGATCATCATAACTCTCAATGGTAGTTGCCACAGACAGTCCATACGTTCAGTAAGAATGGTATCAATGTGAGTCGTCGTAATCCACAATAGCATTATATATTTCATATATTTTATCAACACTTTCCTTAGTGGTGAGAGCTGAAGGTTTTCCTGGACATCTTCTGGGCTGTCCGTTTCCATCTTGAACCCATGCCCAGATCCAAACACCGGAAAATTTAACAGTATCATCATATATCGTTGTCACTGTCCGTGTAGCAGGGCGTGGTGCTAGACGTGACATAACGGAGTTAACCTCTTTGGTCATGTTGACAAGGCGTCCGACTTCGGTTTAGGTCCTTGGTTCGAATCCCAGCATGGGACTTTATGGCAGGCACATCCACGTGGCTTGCTGTTGGGTGAACCCTTTTCAGCTAGATATACTCTCAAGACAGGTAGCTGAGCGTCTCCATTTTATCACCAAAGGGACCAGTTTATTTTAATGCCTGTAGAAACATGTTGCTTGAATGTCTATTTTAGCTTATAAACATGTGTAAATTGTACTTAATACTTGCAATGTGTTACGGGAGTGTTATACATTCGCCTCCTTTGTCTTCCACAACCAGAAATGTTAAATCGGTGGAATATGTCAATTGGGTTCATTTCAGGATACTTCTTCTTTGAAATAGTGTCATTTTCAGTGAGGTGTAGTCACTGACTTTAGAACTCTGAAAATTTCAGGGCTATTCCTTTGATCCTTTGAGTTGTTGCTGCATGCTTTATCCTTTTGGACCTCCTCAGCACAGATCACAAGCACATCTTACTCAGATCATGGTTGACCTTGTATGTAATGTCTAGAGATGCCATACCTCACAGAAGAAAGCAAATTCTATAACTATTAAAATAGGTAGGGGACACTTGGTGATATTTGGGGAACCACGTTTTATGACTGTATGTGAATTTTGAAATAATAATTTTATTCTCAACCTGTTATTAATTTCGTGCATGCGCACCAATTTCGTGCAAACGTGTTTCATGATGTGCACATGAACATGGTCGGGATACAATCCGAACGTTACAGTGAAACTTGTCAGCATATTGCTGACGGAACTTGTTTTAAACAAACTCAAACGTTCATGAATATACTACGTCTGTCACGTCAGGAACGGCTGCGTGACATTGGCATGATGGTGGAATTTGGACCAAGACAGAGCATTGTGACAAACTCTTAACAAATTAAGAGACTACAATCACAGACGTAAAAGATAATTAACGTTAAATACGAACGCCGATCTGGTCGACAAAGCGCGACAACTGGCGCACAAGACCGTGTCATCAGAACGACTGTGCATCCGTGGTCAAAGTGCTTCTCAGACTGGAGTGGACACACGACTTGTACACATCTACACCCATGGAACCTGTACGCCAAATGTCCACGTATTTTCCCCCGAGTGTGGGGCCGTCACATTACTGCAATACGTTGGACCAATAGTTACGTTTTCGGATGAAGATTTACATTGGACTTCTTTGGCAGGTGTGTCACCCATCGAACATGTCTGAGTTATCCTTGGACGGCGCGTGGGAACTTGGCGCTGCCCTGCAGGGAGAACCAAGCTGACACTGGACATTTGATTCGGAACATGCCTCGTCGAATGTTTGGTTGTCTTGAGAATAGAGGTGGACTCACGCGATATCAATCAGTTTCAAACCGTGAATGACGTGATGAACAGTAGGTCATCTAACGTTCAACGACTAACGCAAATCTCAGAAGCCAATACACTGAAAATATACGATATCAATAGTTGTGACACAATTTTATTTCATATCCCCTACCTAGTGTATACTTCTTGACGAGGCACCTTCCAATGATATTAGCATGCCTGTTGGGCTCCACAAATGCAACATTCCTCACCTGGGGCCAGGTAAGGGGCGGATCATATCAGTAAAGTTTCCTGGGTGAGGAGTTGTTGAGTTGAGGGCCAGGCCCTTCTGTATATAGGAATACGGGCTAGGGACCAATTCACGTATGTCCATGTATAGGAAAACCATCTGTTAGAATACAAATGAAGAAGAAAGAAAATCTGGGGTCCCTGAACTCTCGAACAATCATGTCAGACAACATACCTCACAACCGAATGTTCTCCATTTTGCACATATTCATTGCGAGCTATTCGTCCTGTGAAGCACCTCAAATTCATGCGGTACAGAAGCAAGTGTTAACGAAGCGAAGTGACCACATTTTCAAGGGAAGTTTCTCTAAACGCCGAACCAAGTTTATGTAAAGAATAATAGAAACCTTGTAGAGTGGGTGAAGTCGGTGGCCTCAAAAGAGAACTTCAATGTTTCCTCTTTGATGCTCAGGTCAACTCACTTCTCACTCGAAACCGTCACAAGTGTGATTTTGTATGTAACTATGAACATGAACTCATTTTGCGTGGTGATGCTGCCCAATAGCTTGTCACAGTGCCGGACATGCGCCGCCCATCCCTCTATTACCGTCTTCACCATGCTTGAAGGTATGACCACGAATAAGTAGACTGTCACAGAAAATGACAAATTGAATTAAGAATTCCTTGCAATAGGCCTTTATACAGCCTAAGATGTATCCAAGCCTTGTTTTCATATATATCCTTTGAAATAATGTATATTGTTAATTTCTCAGTCCCTTTTGACACAAAAGTCTTTGTCACGATTCAGTAAAAACATGGCAAATTTGCAGAGCTCCCTTACGAAATGTCACATTTGCCTCCCGTGTACCAAGTTGTCCGAGTTCCAATTGCCCTGGGTGCCTGACATATCTGGGGTGTTATGACTGCAAGGCACCGAGCTTATGGTGAGCCTGATTGTGCCAGGGTCTATGGCTATTTTCTAATATATAAATTGTATAACAATAATTGTTTTGATGATGATAATGATAATGAACCGCCCTCCACAAGGAATGATCATAGCCCACATAGTCTTGGTCGAGTAATCGCATGTGTGCTTTACATTCTTGGCTTTGGGGTAGTGCACAGTACATTCGAATTGACCTGGAGTTTCACTTTGACCTTAAATAGTAAAACATCGTCATTTTGATAAGTATATATAAAATGGTAATCATTAACGGTATAAAAACCTGTGCGAGTCTCGGTTGCAGGAATGTGAGCATAAATCCTCGCGTGTGCCGCCAGTTGTCAAGTCCCTGCTAGCGACACACGTGAGGATTTTCCGACAGAAATTAGAGATTTAAGAGGGTACCATGTAGGTAGGTATTTCACAGCCACAGACAAAGGAGCCCTGATTTAAACTGGTGTGAATGTAGTTCTGTGTTTCCTTTACAGATGTCGTGGACACGTGGATCACCTCCATCATAGATTCATCTTCTGCCTATTGGGTGTGAGTGTTTTCTGACTCATGTATATTGTCAAACCAGTCAGCGCAGCGACACAGTTCTTTGACGTTTATCAGTTTTGTGAAATGCACATGAACAGTATTCAGGCTCACAGTGAAAACCACTATGATAGGATGTTAGTAATGGCGGGTTCCACCAACATCGGACAAATGGCATCAATAACTTGCCTTAACGACATAACAGAGAACACTCAAGTAACACTATTTCTTTATTATTCAGAATATTTTTTCAGATCAGTTACATAAATTTACAAATAAGTTTTCTTCTTCGATAACCAGCCAGAAATTGTATTATTGTATTGATGATATTATCACATGACAGTGAAAGTTCAAGTTACGCCAACATGAATCGCCACTTTGTGCTCAGCATAACATGTATTTGTGAAGTGATCATATGAGTTTGTAAACGTTTCGAGTCTTTAAATATGGATTGTTTTCATTGTTTAGACTTTTTAAGGACTACAGTGCAAATAATATGCTGGGAGCCGCGGATTTCTACCCCAGCTATGGCAACACTCAGAAGGCCTGGTGTCCTGGACATCTCAACGATGAACAATATGTGGAGGTGAGCCAGTCAGGCTACTATCATAGTTATCATTATCGTATAGGGTATAAACGTCATTATCATTATCGTATAGGGTATAAATGTCATTATCATTATCGTATAGGGTATAAATGTCATTATTATCATTAGCACTGCTACTGCTGTCACGACATCATCATCGTTATTCATATAATTATCATTGTTATTGATTCTTTAAAGTTATCATCATTATTAGGATAACATGAAAGAAAAGGTCTTGTTTCTGTTCAGCTAAGCAAGCTATGTACAATGTACATATGATGAGATATATGGTTTGCGGTTCACAGCTCGGAATCCCAGAACCGATCTACATCACGGAGATCCACATCTATGAGGTGTTCTGGGTTGGTGGGGTGGAGTCTCTTTCGATCCGAGATCCGAACTCTGACTGGATGGAGGTGTGGAGAACGCCTGCTTTTGAGAAATTAGAAACAAGTCGGATTTTAATCCCCAATTTCATGGTGAGTATATGATAGCCAGGTGTTTGGTAAACATAGTATTGGTGGAATCTGTGACCTAGGTTCAGTTGTGATAATCCTTGCACAATGTTGAAAGCGGTGTAAAACCCTCACCAACTCACTCATACAACATTGGCCACCCAGTGTATGCCTTATCGGTTTCTTTTATAGAATTAGATTAAGACTGACAAAAACCTGTTCACAAGAGTATTTCACACTTCATCCAATGCTGGCCATATGAGAAAACATTAAGTAGTTGCAGGATTGATTCTAGCGTATAGAATAACTGGAATATTGAGTGCGGCGTAAAACTAAACTCACCCACTCACTATCTCATCGAAGTTTCAAGTGAAATAAACCTTTAACCAGTCAAATTTCAATATAAGATGCGAATAAAAAAATTCAAATAGGTCAAAGTTAAGCAAATTTATGATTCAAAATAATGAGTGAGTGAGGTTAGTTTTACGCCGCACTCAGCAATATTCCAGTTATTTGGCGGCGGTCTGTAAATAGTCGAGTCTGGACCAGACAATCCAGTGATCAACATCATGAACATCGATCTGCGCAATTGGGAGCCGATGACATGTGTCAACCAAGTCAGCGAGCATGACCACCCGATCCCGTTAGTCGCCTCTTGCAAGTATAGTCGCTTTTTGTGGCAAGCATGGGTTGCTGAAGACCCATTCTACCCCGGATCTTCATGGGTCGATTCAAAATAAAACCTCAAGGTAGGTCGTACTTGGAGAGTATAACCACCCTATGTAGTTTTCACGTTACTCCCAACTAGACTTCCAAATAAAGTCAAGCCACGAGAATTTCCGTTGGTAAATCGAGACTGGCCATATATTTTGGCGTTGATGTTGTATATTTCTTAGCTTGGGTCAAGCTTTCAAAACGTTTTATGGTAATAGACTTCTCAACAGCCAGAAACATGATACCGATGCAGTTTCCTATTTTAACTTGTACAACATGTCCGGACTTTCTTAAGTTGAAGAGCTGACTTGATTGTGCTTACTTTTGACGGGGGCTACAGGTGGGACAGGATGCGCACATCTTGATAATGGAAAAGGTTTTGTGCTCCTTGTTTCTAATAGCATTTAGGAATCATGAACGTCGCGTGACATGAAATATTCTAAATGTAAATGAGTCAGTGAGTTGGCTCAATGCCACTTTGAACATTATTTCCCGTGTATGACCACGTGAGTAGAACCGTACTGGGAAACACTGACCAAAGTCATTTGAAGTACAGAAACTGTCAAATTAAGGCGATAATCTTAATAGTTCTGAACATACTAAAGATTTCACACCCATATTGCAATCTTTCCCTTCCGCTCAACCGCTAACGGTCCAATCTTAGCACTTTGGTAACTCTCACACCTATAGACGTTGACCCGTGAAGATCCGGGGTAGAATAGGTGTTCAGCAACCCATGTGCTTGCCATAAAAGGCAACTATGCTTGTCGTAAGAGGCGACTAACGGGATCGGGTGGTCAGTTTCGCTGACTTGGTTGACACATGTCATCGGTTCCCAATTGCGCAGATCGATGCTCATGCTGTTGATCACTGGTCCAGACTCGATTATTTACAGCCCGCCGCCATATAGCTGGGATATTGCCGAGTGCGGCGTAAAACTAAACTCACTCACTCACTCACCTATAGACGTTAACTCATACAAGCTTCACTATAATGATTAACTAAAACGCTGACGAACGAGCGGTATATATCTGTATTATATCTATTGCCATGACCTGTAATACATGTATATTATGCATTGACACATCAGGTATATCCACAAGTGTTTAATATGTTATTGTAAAATACTTGACGACGAGCTTGTTGGATGAGATGATAGATAATTCCAGTTCGATTTTTAGACTTTCTGCAATCGGTGTGGAAGTATTGTTATTATAAGAGCGCTATGTTTGTTGTACCCAAAATGAACACAAACGGATGCGGGTAGAGAGGCTCAACGTTTATTTTCGTAGTGTGTATGTGTGGCAGCCTCAATATTTATGGTATAAGGATTCACGATAAATACTTGAGGACACTATGTGTCCTTCCTTCAGAAGTAAGAGGCCAAGTGAGTGTAAAATCTGAACATTGAAGTTAAGCTGTAGTCAGCTTGGGCTATTAGTTGAACAGAACTGACCGGACGCCCTGGAGCAAAGAGTGTTGTAAGTGTGACACTTAGGATATGCAAACTGAGAGTAAAGCTTACTGTGGGAGCTCTGAAATGAATGTTTTACTACATAAAATGTTAACGTATAAAACGTAACTAATATTCTTACATACCAATAAGTAATATACTAACTAGTATGCTATTCTTATTGTTAAACATAGATGTATAAGTAATTAAATGGCAAAACTGACTGACTGACTGAGTTTGGTTTTACGCCGCTTTTAGCAATATTCCAGCAATATCACGGCGGGGGACACCAGAAATGGGTTTCACTCATTGTACCCATGTGGGGATTCGAACCCGAGTCTTCGGCGTGACGAGCCAACGCTTTAACCACTTGACTACCCCACCGCCCCTTAAATGGCAAGAAGGTCATACAGCTTAATTGTAACTCATATATAACTACCTATTCTCTATTAAAACACTATGTACATATATACAAATATCTTACACATCATGGATGCGATGACAGAATAGCTCCTATTTTCTGACGTAGAAATGAACATATTTCATGGCACTAACCCTGTTACCTTTCTTCGTGAACATTCGTGTTCGATATCAGTCTGAGCAAGCCTTGATATACTAAACTACCCAAAAACAGTCTTTCCTGAATGGAAAAAACAACCAGGAACGGGTTTAAACTGAGCTCTGTCTTGAGCTGTCACAAGTCGTAGTTAAACAGGGAACCAGGGAACCAGCACGTTGCTTATAAATTTTGTTTGTTTGGGTAACGCTGCACTGGGCAATAAATATATAGATAAGATAAGACGATATTTTAGTTACGTGTCACGCGGTATACATACAAACAAATAATCACAATTTAAAATATACACTACCCGGCCAGCTTGCCTATGAGACACGAAGAGTCTTGAAGTGTTAGCACTTCGGTAATAATATAGAGGCACCAATCAGCTGATCTAAATGCAACTTATATATAGAACAGCAGTATGTATGAGTAAATACACAGTGTTATTTAAAGAAACCCCATGTATCTGTCTTTAATTGTGTTCAATGTTCTTTTAACCTAGCCTCCAGACTTCAAGTCTGACGCAATAAGGATTGACCTTGACCTTTCGGTCCAAAGTGTCTGGTCCGAGTTCGACGCCGTGCGAGTGGTTGGCACCAGGATACGCACGCGTCACGGCCTGTGACACCATTTCACAAATAGTGCTGTCGGATTGGAGACGTGGAGAGAGGGGCAGCGCAAGTTGATGTCATCGACGTGTCGTCACAAGGACTTTGCATATCCTGAATACATTGTAGCCTGACATAACAACTGTCAGCATGTACTGTGAAACTTTGAGAGATGAGAAACATGGTCCGTTCATAAAGGGAGATGGGGCAATGAAATAGTTTTAAATATGTACGTATGAAATGTGTTATATATATTATCTAACACTGCACATGACACGGAATGTATTTACTGTTCCATATTTATGTACGTGAGTATAATGCGACCTGCCGTCTGACTGTTGTGACGCTGTTGAATCCGCTGAGTTAGCATTTTTATGGAAATACAGTATTGATGTATGTACCTACACGGAGGACATGTCACAGCCTAGACACCTGTTCCATCAGATCGGACTTCCTCCGACTAAAGAAGATATTACTGAAACACTGTTGAAACAGCACAACTCAGTCACGTTCAAACGTTTGCTAAGTCATGAAGCCAACATAACTGACTTATTTTCAGCAATCGCCCCCTCACCAAACTATCCAATATACCCACAAATCCTCTCAGCCAGAATAATAGAATATACCTGTAATCAGGTTTCTAGATACCTTGCAACAAATTAACAATGCAGTAGTTTTGTTACCCTTAGTTTATATAGTAATACACCACCAGGGCAGGCTGTGTTGGTGAGGGCGTGTTTGCCCGGAGTTGCATCCTTTAGGCGGGCAAGAAGCCTCTATTATCCTCTATAGGGTCCGTAAGTCTCGCGAGGCGCTACTTCCGCTACTAGATTTCCGGTGACAAGCGAATACGCAAGAACCAGTTGTGGTGCCAAATTGCGCGACCGCCTAATATGACCTTACTAGACCGGACCAAGTGCACTACCATGCTTGGCTGTCACAGCTGGTGACAGTCGTAATAATGGGATCGTTTGGGGACGATAAGATCGAAAAATTAGTATTCCTTCAAGGATTATCGGTTCCTTGAACGGGTTCCTTGAGTCAATTCGAAAACGTACCTTTCTTTAGCTATAATATATTTTTGACAACCAGTGCAGTTCTATCGCTAAACGTGTTTCTTTTCAGTATCACGGACAGTGTTTGTCACAAAACATATTTCGGGAATCAATGACATGGTTAACGTAAAATGCATTTGAGTAATCTGTATTTATATTGAATTAATAAAACTATTAATTAATATACTGCTATTCATAAAACAGCCATGTGTTACAAATTTTTCAAGTTGATGTTCTATTCATATTTTGACACATTGACTCTGTCATTTCCCTTTTCAATTAAAGTATGTAATTCCAAAGTAGAATATTTTTGTTTGTTTAATTTGTTATTTATTTTCTAAATACATTTGTTATGCTGCAGCAATATTTTGTAACTATTCCGAATTAAAAACTATTTTTTACATTTTCAATATATTTATATTTGTTAGGAACTATTTGAGATCAAATAGTTCCTAACAAATATCAATAGTGATATGTTAAAAAATAGTTTTTTTAATTTGGAATAGTTACAAAATATTCAATAGAGACAATTGGCTTTATGCAATGTAAAATGCATGTGTATAAATACTTGAGGTTCTGACAACTAGTTGGTATGCTTAATAATTTTACTCTCTTCCAAGTCCAAGGGATGACTGTATGCAAGTTCAGGTGACAGAATGACTCAAAGATACAAGAGTCATGAGAAGATGACATATCCCCCCGGCCCCCACATCTTTGAAAGAACAAATCATCTGACAGTTACTTAAAGTCCAGCTTGATTTTAGACTAAGTGCAAATCGTTTCCATGGAAATCATGAAAAAAATAAATGACAAAAATCGGCAAATAGCAAAAGGCACCACTTCAAGATCTGACTCACATATCTGCCAAGTTTTGCTGAAAGATATTAAGAAGTTTTCCAGTTGTGCTCCGGAAACGAAACCTACCCCGCCCTTTTGAGACTAAGTCCGAATTGTTTCAATGGAAACTGAGAAAAATAAAAATGACAAAAATCTGCAAAAAGCAAAAGGCACCACTTTGGGATCTGCCTCACATATCTGCCAAGTTTTGCTGAAAGATATTAAGAAGTTTCCGCGTTGTGCTCCGAAACAAAACCTACCCCTCCCTTTTGAGACTAAGTCCGAATTGTTTCCATGGAAACTGAGAAATCATTAAATCACAAAAATCTGCAAATAGCAAAAGGCACCACTTCAAGATCTGCCTCACATATCTGCCAAGTTTGGCTGAAAGATATTGAGACGTTTTCGAGTTGTGCTCCGGAAACGAAACCCACCCCTCCTTTTGGGACTAAATCCGAATCGTTCCATGGAAACCGGGAAAAATAAATATGCTAAAAATCTGCAAATAGCAAAAGGCACCACTTAAAGTTCTGTTTGATATATCTACCAAGTTTTGTTGAAATATATTGAACGGTTCTTGAGTTATACTCCGGAACGAAGCCCACCCTCCCTTTTGGGACTAAGTCCGAATCATTTCCATGGAAACCGAGAAAATAATAAATCACAATTATCTGCAAATAGCAAAAGGCACCACTTTGTGATCTGCCTCACATATCTGCCAAGTTTGGCTGAAAGATATTGAGAAGTTTTCGAGTTGTGCTCCGGAAACGAAGCCCACCCCTCACTTTGGGACTAAGTCCGAATCGTTTCCATGGAAACCGGGAAAAATAAAAATGCCAAAAATCTGCAAATAGCAAAAGGCACAACTTTAGGATCTGTTCGATATATCTACCAAGTTTTGTTGAAAAATATTGAACGGTTCTTGAGTTATGCTCCGGAAACGAAGCCCACCCCTCACTTTTGGGACTAGGTCTGAATCGTTTCCATGGAAACCGGGAAAAATAAAAATGCCAAAAGTCTGCAAATAGCAAAAGGCACAACTTAAGGTTCTGTTTGATATATCTACCAAGTCTTGTTGAAAAATATTGAACGGTTCTTGAGTTATGCTCCGGAAACGAAGCCCACCCTTCTTAAAGACTAAGTCCAAAACGTTTCCATGGAAACCGAGAAAAATAAAAATGACAATAATTTGTAAATAGCAAAAGGCACCACCTTAGGTTATTTTTGACATATCTACCAATTTTTGTTGAAAAATATGGAACGGTCTTTGAGTTATGCTCCGGAAACAAAATGATTACGGACGGACGGACGGACAGACGGACGAGGCGACGACTATATCCCACCGCATTACATGCCGGTGGGATAACAAGAAATAAATTGTTTGTTGTTTTGCAAATGTGAAAGAAAATGCATTATAAAGTTTACTTTGGATAGATGACAGGGATCTGCATGTGTCAAATTGTTTCTTTGCCATGCTGTAAATATACTGATAATGATATATTGAATACAGGGATTGGGATGGAGACCTTCGACAATTTCAGGATTATTAGCCATTTTCTGAATTTAGAATGGGCCACTGCCCTTGTATCAATAGTAAACTTCAAATTTTAAAGGGGCATTTTTATTCTAATGTGCAAAATGGCCCCTGTCTTTCCCAATGCCTGGAATAAATAGTAGTTCTTGTAACATTATAATTTTTTTTATAAATATATGAACTTTCCCATTTATGGTGACGTTTTTATTCCCACAAGAAGTCATAGTGTCACAAATCAATCAACAGCACGACAAAATAACCTTGATGGCATGGTTACAATTATTTCGGTTACTACTGTCAGATATTAAAAACAAAAATGTGAAAACCCTCAGCCATATGAATATTCATCATGAAACAATTATTTATCAAATTATGTAAATATTATTTTAGAGGTGATATATAAAAACTGGTTGTTGGACAATATTTATTACACTTTGTACCAGATGTCTTGGAGTGAGTGAACTATGTACTATGATCTAAATTACATGAGTGTTACTTAGTTCTTGGTTATGCAGGGGTGAGGTTCTGCTGTGCTGTAAGCAAAATATGAAGCAGCACACAGCACCTTCAAGTCACAATTGGCAAAAATGCAAGACCAAATACACTCAAAATATGGAGTAATCACTCAAAGACATTTCCTGTATTGTAAAATATACTGATCAATACATGGGGAAACTAAATGTGCATATATACTATGTCATGACAGTAGATTCTGCAGACACTGGCTGATAGCAGCATGAGTATGATTACTTGTCATGTAATATAGTGTTTTTCCCCCATTATTAGTAACTTATATATTCCAAATATTCTGCCAATGAGGCCAAGGTTGGTAACTGGTTTTCCATATTTTCCACTATACCGTTAGACCAATATGTTTTAAAATAATCGAAAAGAATAATGTGTACTGGTTATTGTGCTATGAACCAGTGTTGTAATCTTACAGCAAATAAAAGCAAAGAATTTCATATTTCAACAAAATTCCATGTCATATAGAATCACATGCCTATGCCATTGATTAAGTTTAACTTTTCATTGGTAAGCATTTGTTTTCATGGAAACTGGAGTAGTAGGGTAACCTAGTGGTTAAACTGTTGACACTTGTCACACTGAAGGCCCGGGTTTGATTCCCCACATGTGTGCAAAGTGTGAAGTCCATTGCTGCTCTCCCCAGCATGATGTTGCTGGAATATTGCTAAAAGCAGTGTAAAACCCAACTCTCTCACTTGGAAACCTTTGCTATATACACTGAAAATCTAATCTCCTACATCCATCGTTGTATATTTACTGTCAAATCAATATCATGGCTAAAAGCAGAAATCTCCGAACAATTCAAGTTGTGCTTGCTTAATCCACACTTAAAAAACAATAAACAAGTTTTAGAACTATTCCGCAATTTTATTCCAAAGACATAATTACTCATAACATATCAAGCATTCTTTGCATTTCCCAGATGCTAAACCTGAAAAAATACTGTAACAGTATCATCTGGAATACAAATGTTCTTTCATGGTCACTCATCTAAATTCTCACTGAATTATCTGAGAGTCCCTAGATGTCACAAGACTTTCCACAACACCTTGCTGGTTACAAGCATTTCCTAATCCAGCAAGTGTCCAAAGGATGATGTGTAGGGCTTTAATATGTTTTATAACTGTACATACAAAACTTCAATGACTTGCTGTTTCTTCATTTGCAATGTATATTGCTTGAACACCAGATGTTAAAAGAAATCTGAAGATCTGTTTCAGTTTGTGTTGCTCTTGGTGTCAATGGTAATTGTGGTGATAAAGAAATCTATTCCTCCTTCTTTCTCCTCTTAAAGATGTGCATCTGTTCCAACTGAAAAAAATACATAACACAAGTGAGACCAAGTATGATATACTTAATAAAATGTAAACAGTTCCTTACAATGTTGACATCAAGATATTATTGATAAATTGAGCATGTGGATGTTAAGTTTAACTGGACATGCTGCACCATAACCAAATGCCAAATGGGATTGT